GTCTAGATGCACACTTTCTACGGCTGTTTCTTTGCCGCAAATACACTTTTCTTTTACATGCACATGTGGGTGCCATCCACTAATTCAACTCTCATTGAAAACAGTGTAAAATCAGCATTGTTCAGGGCTCAACGTGCAAGCCGAAATCCCTGATGTTTCTTGAACAAAAATAAAATTTTTCTTCAGTCCTTGATTTTTCTATTTCTTTCCAGTTTTCTGTTGGTTAACAAATTACCACAAAACAAAATCACCCCCCCCCTGAAAATACATACGGTGCATGTGTGTAGCATCACACAGCTAGGCTACACTCATCACATTGACCACCACATTGACTAGCAAGGGCTGGACGGGGCCAGCGCCGGTATGTACCGACCGCACTGCCGCTCAGACCGCAATGAGTTGAGCGCAATGATAAAGTCGCCACACTGTGTACCATTGGCTCAGCATAGAGATGGGGAGGACTGGGCTAGTTAGCAGGACAAGGGTGGCGAGGGACACGGGGGTGTCTCGCCCGGCAATCGGTTCAGACGTAGCGGGTGACGGGCCGCTACTACTCGCTCTAGCACCCTGGGCTAATTCGTACCGCTCTCGCATCAGTCCAAGCTAAGCAAGCTGGCCATTCATATGGTTATACTTCTTTGCCATAAGAATGGGTACTATCGCACTTCTCTCAGAAAGGTCCAACTGCCACACTACGACAGGAGTTTGGTCCGCCGCACCTGACCGACGAGCGAGGGAAATATCTGCTCTATTTATAGGCTTTTAGAGTCATAGGAATTGAGCATCGCTGAACAGCTCAACCAATGAAAATCTTCCATCTCAAAGGTCCCATGACTTCCTGCTAGAGTCATGTGCAAGAATCTAAATGTCGTGTGTAAAAAGGTAAAATACAGAATAAAAATTCACGTGTACAAAGTGTAGAGTCGGGTGCATGGAAGTGCTTACCCAGTTATCTGTTGCGAATGATTGATAGTTACAAAGTCTGAGGTTTCTGAACATTAGCATTTCACGGAACCTTACCATGCCCAACCAAGCAGACATGTGGAGGGGAATTTCGACATGCCAAAACTGAGCAGAGAAAACACAAGGACGAAGGAGTGAAGGAACACGCGACTACGCCAGAGTACAGCATGAATGACTTGATACAAAATTAGCGTCTCTGCTACATGTCCATAATGCATAGCTGAGCTAAATAAGAGACCCTGAGAAATGCAAGGACCGAGAACGAGTAAAACTAGGGGACGCCAGAATTCCAAGATTTGCGAATGTGCAACAGATCTATCAGATTAGAGCTGGAAGTCTTAATGCAAAAAGAGGTCTCAGTGTTTGATTAACATCAAATGAATTTAACAATTTTAAAACTATTCACGTGAACCTTTTCTTTCATTCAGTCAATGAACTTTTATTTCCACAATACCTCAGGTTACATGTACATACAATCCCAATGAAATTTTCTTAATACATTTTAATCTTAATAAAAGAAGTGCAAAATCTACAAATTCCCCATTCCAAATTTTGTCCCCAAGGTGTTGAGAAACCCCAGACCCAAGATCATCGCAAACACTTGTTAGGGGCGTAACATCGCCACCCCCTATGTCCGACGAGGTGGTAACAGACATAACCGAATGAACAATAGAGGGAGACGCAACCAAAATGGCCGGGCCATCAGGGGCAGATGCGATAGAAACTGTTGGTCTAGGTGTTAGCTCTGACGGGATGAAAAAAGACTCACCCGATGAAACAGCAGTCGTCTGTGTGACGGGCGCTGAGGAATCACTCGGAACATCAGCCGGCGCGATGTGGTCTGAACGAGGCCTCCCCCTTGGTCTCGACCCCTCAGCGCCGGCAGTGCGCCGCTTTGTTCTTGCTGCCCGTGGCATCTTTTCCCAATAACTGGAAGGGGCTGGACTAAACGTGATATCCTTTTCCGAAGCTGCAAATAAATTGCAGAATGTAGAAGACGACTAACCTACGAAGGATACTTTGCAAATTTACAACTACACTGATTATTTATCCCATAATAAACCGAACGAACCGACCTGGCAAACTGCTCAGACAAAAATGACCAGCACACACATTGGTTCTACCTATGAAGCTGTAACCAAACAGCTGGGTAGTAAATCCAGCGCCTATGTGGTCAGTGGGGGAATTTACTCCAGCAATCCAGCTTAGCGGCAATAAACTATTTGAAGCCCCAATGGGCCTAAAATGAATTAAGCCAATGAAATTGCACCTTTGTATTTCAATAAACCAGATTCTAAATTATTGCTTTGCTATTGGAACCCACATTTTTTAGGGTTATTTATTTTTCATGTGAATGAACATTGCATATGCATAAGCCAAAATTTGAAGTCAGGCAAAGCACCAAACCTCAATATTGCACTGATATGTGCACCAAGAATTTCTAGATTTGTTCTACACACTGCCATCGCACACTTCATTTCCTCTTTCTTACGCAATGTATGTGACAATATGCCAATGAGCAACCTTTGCACCTTTGTATTTCAATAAACCAGATTCAACAACTTGAAACATTCAAACTCAGCATCTTCCTAAATTTACACCAAGGCAAATGTGTCCTGACTTGTCCTGAAACGAATGTTCAATTTTGACATATTCAAAATTAAGAAATTCATTGCATGGATCCTTTAAGCTTTAAAAATACACAATGCAGCCCCAAACATCAGTTACCAATTACACCCCTTAACCCCCCCCCCCGGAAATTTAATCCTTCTTACCTATACTTACCTCCTTTCTCAGAACTCTCATCAACGCTTCATAACCACCTACTCCTTTGGGGGAGGAGTTGAGTTCTTGAAGTAGG